GCAGAGTGATATGTGAGAGGTCATGATACTTTGGTGATTCGTAGTGACGATTAGCAGTCTCGGATCACGAGTGAACCAAGACACACAAAGGCTCGAAAGTAAACGAAGTTGCGACCGTAGCACGCCATAAATCATTGTGTATTTTCGTGGTGCAGTCCAGTTGGTTAGGTTAAGGGATTTACTCTGTTATATGCTGTAATCAGGCAGTAGTTGAGCATTATGTCTCTTTAGCTGAGTCACTCTGGGCCTGTTTCATAGGAGCAAATTGCGCCTTAAACTTAAATAACGCCTAAAGTATACCTTGAGTAATTAGGACATCCTATTTCACTACTTCAGTAAATACGTTAAGGCGCCTTAATTTTAGGAATACTTAAGTACGCCTTAAGTTAAGGAGCTCCTTAAGTTGCTTCTAAACGTTGTGAAATGAGTTGAGTACTTCTTAAGTATACCTTAAGTAACTCCTTAAGTTGCTCCTAAATTTAAGGCGCCTTAAATTAAGTATCCTTGTGAAACAGGCCCTCTGTGTGCACCATTGCATTTCTCCTCATCTATTTAGTGTAAGTAACTCAGAATGGTTATCCTTGCACTCTTGAAGTTATTTGTGCCCTTAAGCCATTAGCTATGCCCTTACACATTTGCACGCATATACAAAGGCTTTTCTGCGCCTTGGATAAGCTTTAGATGGGAGTCAACTTAGGCACTTAACAACACGTCGTTCGTTGTCTATCAGACCGCCGGGTGCGAGTCCGGTTTCCGTCCGACGGAAACCTCCCGACTCGGGTCTGCTGACTACCGAGAACACCTACAACGTGGTTCTACCCGTAAGGTAGAGGATGCGTTCCGTCCGTGTCTCGTATTGGCATGGGGATCGAGGTTTTCCTGCAGTCTTCCTGGCGTCGTGGAGTTATTACCTATGATCCCCCTGTTCCTGGTCGTGTTTGGATTCAGTTTGAGAACGATGATTCCCCGCAGTCTGTATGTTTATCAGACGTTACGTGGCGCCGGCCTGATACCTCTGGTTCTCCCTCGCCATCGTTATCCCCCGGGCGCCAAGGGGGGCGTGATGGGGCTGACTCATCATCGTCTGATCCGATTATTTATGAGTTGCCCAGTTTGATTGATATGAGATTTAGAGTCCTGTATGATATAGTTTATTCTCAACGGCGACGACCTGTGCGCCGATGGTTCAAGGGTCCAGTACGTGATATGCGTGCCTCGGGTCGGGTTGACGTTGAATGGGATGATGAGTTCGGTAAGATCGAGACTCTTGATTTCTGGGCCTGTGAACATAGATCGATGTTATGAGCTTTGCTCTTTTTCACCGAGTATTATCGTTTTAAGTTTATAATCTTCAAGTTTATAGTATGGTAGATTTTGCACAGCCTGTGTGAAACAGGTATTACCACTGGCTTGTGCATGCGTGCGGATGCTTCAGCTAGAACCGAAGTTCGGTCCAACCGAACAGGCGGGTTCGGTGCAATCTGTTCTTGCTAAGTGTCGAGAATTCCGTAGCCATCTTGACTCAAGTTTGAGTTGTGTTTTGATAACCCTCGTTAATCCTATCAAAGAGCGGACGGATAATGGAATGAGCAGAGGAAGTCCCTGTGTTTCTTCTAGTTTTTGCGCACAAGACTTGTGCGAAGCGCTCTGCCTCATCAAAAGGAGTAACAATAAATTTGTGACGTCTTGTACAGTAAGAAAAAAGCTTTGCGGCGTGGTGTAATTCTTTCCTTACAGTTCTGTTATAAACTTCACTCGAGTTCAATCACTCCCATATCTCCGGAAGTTGTCCACCCCGAGTCTACCAACCTAATATGAGAATGACACCCTGCAATTTGTTTCAAGTGTTGCTGATTAGTGGCCTCCTAGTTAAGCCCCAACTAGCGGAGGTGGCTGCCCTTGGCAATTACGCTGGATATGATGATGACTATCGCTTCTTTTGCATTATGACTGTGAAAAGCTCGTCTGAGATGCAACTTACGGCCGACGTTGAGCTGGACAGGGGAACTAATTGGGCCAAGTGCATCAACGCCCAATTTCTCTACGGCTTATCGAAAGTGTTCGGCAAGACTAACCGAAGTCAGAACAATGTCCATATACTTAGCCAAGTTGGTTTTATTGCTCGACCGGAAGAATCCACCGATGAATGTCTGAATGAAGTAGCAGAAAGGGTCGGTCTAGGTGATCATTGTCGCTGGAATGCATACCCGGAGAATGGTAAAATGGTTCTTGACGGTTGCGATGCACACTGGGACCTAGGTAAAGTCGACTAAGATATCTTCAGTCTCGAGGCGCTGCTATAGTTGTCGCTTATTCAGACGAGACGTCATGATTAATCCTGTCTACTTTTCTCTTTCGTATACTCATTATCAGATTTATTGATAAATGGTCAAGAACTTCTGAGATTACAAGATATGTCTGTGACGCGTCCGATATTCGGTTCTGAATCAAAACTTCTGATCTGTGACGTAAATCGGGAAGTCCGTATTCTTGCAGCTCGTTACATTCCGAGAGTCCTACGTATTTCAGAGGTTCTTATTTGGATCTTAATCTTCGGTCTATCCCATCACTAGTTGTAGTAGAATCTAGCGGAGCGATTCACACATAGGTGTCTGTCAGACATGTCCGCCACAGCTAATATCTGTGGCGTACGCATGTGCATTCTATTTAGTCCTGTGCACACTGCTGCCGTATTCATTAGTACCGTCTTGACTGATACTGTATCAGCAGTCCCCATCATCTTGCGTTCATAGCGGGCTTTCTCGAGTGAGCCACAGCATGGTGCCCAGACCCAGGAACACCTTTTCAGTGGGTTCTACCCCTTCTTGTGGCCCCACGAGTGCCCCCTCTGACTCCCCTGCATAATGCAGGGGAGTCAGAGTCGCGGATGGGCCCTCTCGACTCGTGCAAACTCTCTCTCGCGGATTGCTAGGACTCGTCAAAGAATATTCTAGCACTGATTCTACCCCTTGTGTAGATGTGACCGCCATCCAAGCTCCGAGTACGTGCTCCTTCGAGCAGGAAGCCAGCCTCCGTCAGTGGCCCCAGCAATTTCCGATCTCTGACGGGAAGGTCCAACTCCCGCCTGGTCTACTCGGGGAATCTCTAGCCAAGGTTTATGACCATGAGGGTCATGCCGTGCTCTGGGCTCATCTACAGGAGTACATTGATGCTCCGGCTTTGGGCTCCGCCATCAACCACTTCTCCTTTGACACCTATGCCCGCGGGAAGTCCTTCCCAGTAGACCTTCAATCCCTCTTCCCCGGAAGTTCTATCTCCTGACCTCCATTCCCATTCGTTCGCTTGCACAGTGACATTGCAGGTCCGTATCTCAGGTCAGTCGATGGGCCGACTCGCTTCTATCTCATCTCCGCCATCGAAAGCTACTCCAAATTTCTGATGGTCCGACCCACTCAACATTCTCCCACTGTTATAAGTTGCTCAGATGTGTTGCTCTGTACGCGAGCACTTTTGGGCGTGCGCATTTAGTCTCATAGCTAATCTTCCAGTGTGGTTGCTTTGAGTACTTCAGCAGTCTTTGCGCACTAGAGGAGAGGTATCTGTAGCCATCTTGGCTCAAGTTATCTTGTTGAGTTCCCTCAATCTCCTAACAAATGGTACCCGATGCAGGATTCGCCGATATAGTTGCGGGCGTGGTGCCTACCCATCTACCGGCTGTTGACGTCAGTGCAGAGATCCAAAGCATCAATTTGGAATGCACTACCTCAAGGGAATTTATGAGAGAGATCTCTAGATTAAGAGGAAAGTATCAACGATGGGTTTCCGGGAGGGAGGAGTTTCATGAAGGAGGACCAGATCGTGACATTGACGTCGCTAAGATCGTTTATGGATCGCTGCTTGATGCTGCGTCCCTTGAGGGTATTGATGAAGTCTGGTTTGAGTATCTAGCTCGATATCTTTCCAAGCAATGTGCAGCAATGCATCGTTTAGAAAGGAGCTGGTATGAAGGCCGTTCTGATGATTTGAAAAGGGCGATTGATGGGTTCATAGAGAATAGAGAGAAGTTATGTGGGGGGACTTGTGCGAAGAAGGAGAATACCGATGTCGCCATATCGTGGCTTAAATTGGACGTTGTAGAAGCAGCTCCTTGGAGTTTCCCAACTGATAGCTGTCCTTATCGATTAATAAGAGAGCGTATCCAGAATGCCATTGAAATTTATGGCCTGAGAGGGAAAGCAGAGGTTTATTATATTGTGAGGAACTTTGCGGGTGCGTTGAAATCAGAGTTAGAGATGATGATCCGCACGGGATTACAGCGCGATCATCAGACACCCGAGTTCGTAGTACAGCATCTTTGGGAATATCTCGATAAGAGGTTTAAAAATTCATTGACGACTTCGGAGATGGTACAGAGATGGGAATCGTTGAAGCAGCAGGATGCGGAGCGAGTTGAAAGTTTCTTCGCTCGTGTGGAGATGGAAAGTGTGTTAGTAGTGGCGATGACTGGGAGGGCCCATAGTGATTTAGATAAGTGTATCCGTGCCAGAGCCGGCATGCATACTCGAATATTAGATTCATTGGAGAGTATGGGGCCCAACGTTGAGTCATTATCTTTCGAGGATTTGCGACGTAGTGCCATTTATTTCGAGAGCA